TAAAAATGCAAATATTAGAAATGAACAAATTTCCTCACTGAACTAATTATAATATAAAGGAATAAGAAGTATCTGCTTATGTTAGTTCAGGAGATAAAAAATTTATATTGAAAATTTATTTTACTTTTTATGGTATTTTATGTTGGCATTCCATCATGTTCCTCAGCTCCTCTATTTTTTTATCTGTATCCTTTCTAGATTTATTAATCATGTCTTGCACTATGGGCACAATCTTTGCTGTTATGTGAGAAATTATTTCTGATTTCATTTTTTCCAGATCCTCTTTCGTTGCTAGTTCAGCGAGTCGAGGCGGTTGAGTATCAGAGTGTTTCATTCATCTCGTTTCCCTTTGGGGTTGCTGTAGGTGATCCGAAGTCTGGTTCTGTGGCTTGTTTACTTGTCTTCTCATTTTGACGTGGGGGCGGGTAGGGTGTGTGTGTGTTCCTGGCGCCCACACGGCTCACCTCCTCTGTACTGGGAGCCGCAGCACGCCTCCCTGGAAGTCTCCTCCTGCCTGGGAGCCGTGGTGTGCTGATCTGGAGGTGTATAGTATTTTAAATATTTTTACAGAAGTATTCTTTTTTTTAAAAAAAAAGTTTTATTAGTACGTATTTGTCATACCCAGTGCTCATGTTCATCATAGAGAATTAGTACCTGTACATAATATATCTTAATTCTTTTTCCCCATTCCCCTTTCCTCCCTTGCCTTCAATCCTTCTTCTCCTCCCGACTTACAGCTTTGTTTTCCTTCCATTCTTTTGCTTTTTAAATCCCTTTCCTGTCCTTCCCTTTACCTTCCCCCTCCTCTGTTCCCCTTCCCATTTGAACATGTTCTTCCTGCCTCCTAATATCTATCCTCCATATCTTCCATTTTGCTCCTTTTTTACCCTTAGGTTTTCTCATGCAAGATAAACAGTGTGATATTTAAACTTGTGTGTCTTATTTATTTATTTCACTTAAAATTATAGTCTTGAAGTGCATCCATTTACCTACAAATGGCTCAAGTTTATCCTTCTTTATGGCAGAATAGTAGTTCATTCTATAAAACACCACATTTTCTTTATCCATTCATCTGTTGATGGCTATTTGGGCTGTTTCCAGGATTTAACTATTATAAATTATACTGCTATAAACATGGACATGGATATATCACTATGGTATGATGCTTTTAACTCTTTTGGGAAGATCCCTAAAGGAGGGCTAGCTGGGTCAAATGGAACCTCTAGTTTTAATTTTTTGAGGAATCTCCACACTGATTTCCATAGTGGTTTTACTAGTTTCCACTACCACCAATCATGGAGAAGGGTTCCTTTTCCCCCACAGCCTCGCCAGCATTTGTTATTGGTTGATTTCTTGATGAGAGCTATTCTTTCTGGAGCAGAAACATTTAATTCTTTAAATAAAAGTGTTTTAAAGAGAATAATACCACCATTACATAGGCAATATAAACAAAGACATGTATAAATATTAAAGTGAAGTGTTACATCCATTGCCACATGTTGGTGGTATTTCCTTTCCCATTTCTTTCCTTTCCCTTTTGATTTCATTTCCCTTTCCTGTTTTCTTTTTTCTTTCTCTTCCTTTCCCCTTTGTCCTTAATTTCTGGTTTAAATAAAAATTATAGGGCTGCATCCCTAGTTCTAAAGTAAATTGCAACACATTTTCTGGGATTGGTGACCAGAAATTTCCCCCTCTCTTACTTCCATTCTTATTTTTTGATCTCCAAAGTTACATTTGAATACATCTGTGTTAAGAGTTAAGTGAGTTTTGTTTTTTTTTTAAAGTAGGGTATATTATTTGTATGTGTGTAATGTTTTGTTATTTGTCTTTTTCACTTAATGATATTCTATTGAGAATTTTCAATGTCCCCCATAATGATGTACTGATGGGGTCAATCTTGTTATTTTAACATTCTTTTTTTATTTTTAGTTTTTGATACAGGGTCTTGCTATGTACCCCAGGCTAGCCTTGAACTCACCATGTAGCCCAGGCTGGCCTCCAACTTGCAGCAGTCCTCCTGCCTCAGCCTCCTGAGTGCTGGAATTACAGGCGTGTGCCACCATGCCTGGCTATTTTAACATTTTTTTACATTGTATGTTTTTGGTGTTTTTTGTGGTACCTGGGATCGAACTCAGGTCCTTGCGCTTGTGAGGCAGGCAGTGGAACCACTGAGCTCAATCCCTGGCCCTACATTGTATTTTTAAAGAAATAAGTGAATATATTATTGCAAAAAACTTAAGCTATGAAATGAAACAAAAGTCTTTGTTCATTCCATGCAATCCTACTTTATTCCCCAAAGGTGATTGCTATTACTTGTTTGGTGTATACTTATTATGTACACTTCCCTTTTTTTCCCCCCTCTTTTTCTGGGGAGCAGTAGAAAGGCACCGAATCCAGCGCCTTGCTTATGCTACCCAAGGGCTCTATCACTGAACTATATCCCCATCCTGTTTTAAAAATACTTGAGACAAGGTATTGCTAAATTGCCTAGGCTGAATTTGAATTTGCAATATTCTTGCCTCTTCAGTAGCTGGGATTACAAGCATATGTCACCAAAGCTAGTGGACCTCTTGTTTTTTAAAATGTATTTATATATATCCACATACACACATATACATCTGTGGCTTTGATAAGTGGTTTTTAAAATTACCTCAGTTTTCCTACAACTTGATTTTTTCACAGTATAAAGACATTTCCTTGTTAGTACATAAACTATCTACCTCTTTTATATTCCTCACTGTGGATAAGCCATACTTTATGTTATCATTGTTAGGGGTAATTGTTTATATTGTTTCCATTATTTGATTATCATATCACTGTAAAAACTTGTGTACATTCATTTTTGTGTACCTTTTCACCTGTTCCCCATGAGGGTGTACATTTTAAATTTCAGGGAGAACTGCCAAGAATCCTCCAGACTATCATGTACCACTTTGATGTCTTATTCTTGGTAATTTTTTCTACTTTTAACAATATTGGATATTACCATTCTTTATACATTTTTTTGTTCTCATGGATGATCTTACCGCTTATGTATCTTTTCCTTTTATTGTTTGGACTTTTATTATCCACTTTTATTTTGAATTATTTCTTTTTATTGATTTATAGGAGATCTGTTTTTAAAAAAGTAAATCCTTTTTTATGTTGCAAATATTTTCTGGTCATCTGTTATTTGTCATAACTTTATGATATATTTCATTACATAAAAATAATTTTTTTTTTTTGGTACCAGGGATCAAACTCAGGACCTTGTGCTTGCGGGGCAGGTGGCAGAACCACTGAGCTAAATCCCCAGCCCCTTATAAAAATAATTTTTAATAGTCAAATTACTACTCTTCATATCTTCTTGAATTTTGTTAGATGCATAAGAAAAAGTCTGCCTTCCCTCAAGATGTATATACATACTTTAAAAATTATATACTGGGAAAATGATTAAATTTTATTGGTCCAAGAACATTGGTAGATTTTTAGGCATTTCGTACTGAATGAGAATCCTACCTTTATCATAACTTCATTCTTTTTTAACTTAATTTCTCTACTTTGGTGCCAAAAAAAATACCTTTTTTTTTGAGACAGAGTCTTGCTGAATAGTCCAGGCTGACCTTGAGCTCACTGTTTAGCCCACCCTGGCCTCAAACTCACAGCTTTCCTCAAGTGCTGGGATTACAGACATGAAAATAACACTTTTAAATGACTAGCTTTTTAAAAATTTTGCTACGTGAGTGAGAGCATACCTCCTCAGGTTAGCAATTCTCAGAAATATCTTTGTTCCCTCACTTTTTTAAATCTAGCAATATTTTATATATACTGTATTGCACAGTATCAAACATTTCTGTTGGTATTTTGATGGTTATCATACTGAATTTTAGATTCATTTTTGGGCAGATTTGACAGTTTGTGTCGGTACTATGTCTTTTGCCCATAAACATATTATCCCTCTACTTTAATTCAGATTTTCTGTGGCCTTCAAGCAGGTTTTGTAGATGTCCACCTAAAGGTCTTATATATTTTGGGCTTTTCCTAAATATTTTATCATATATGTGGTGCTATTGTGATTGGAATTGAATATATCTTCTAGTCATTCATTATTTCTGTGTGGATGCTTTGATTTTTATCTTTTAGCTATTGAACAAAACCTGTTAGTTGTCAGTAATGGAGTGGCAGTTGATTCTCTTTGATGCTCCAGAACAGCATTGTCCAGTAGAAGCCACATTATGTAATCCCCAGTAAACATTCCTGTACCTGCATCTGTGTGTCCCTATTCAAGTGTTCCCTATGAGAGTATGCAATCTTCTGGTACCATATTAAAGAAACGGGTGAAAATAATTTTTGTTATAAACTTTAACCTAGTATATTCAAAATACTGTCATTTCAACATGCAAACAATAAAATATTAGTAAGATATTTTACATTCTTTTTTTGTATTATCTTCAGGATTCATTGTGTATTTTATACTTACATTGCAATGCAATTTAGACTACATTTCACCTGCTCAGTAACTACAGGTGGCTAATGACTACTGTATTTGACACTACTGTATTTGCCTGAAAATAATGAATATTTTTCCTATCTTTGTAAAATTATCTTTTCCTTCTTATAATGTTTTTGCTTGGAGCACCAGTACTATGGTGCTGATGTTGATAATTAATAGTGTTTATAGTGTTTAGCTACTGTGGATTGGTATAAAAGTTGTATATGGAATTGTACTTATAACTGCATATGTTTTCATATGTAAAGAAAGATTTGAAAAAATACGTAAGTAATTTATATAGTGGCTGTCTCTGAGAAGTAGAATTATAGGACTAGGGGCTGATAGTCTTCAAAACATTTTATATTGCTTGGACAATAGGAAAAGTTTCAAATAATGACTTCATTTTCTAATCAAAAGGGAAAGTAAAATGTTATTTCCAGATCTGAAACATAAAATGCACAGAATATTGTACTGGAAGACATTCACCTTCCTGGTGGTAGCAATCCTAACCGTGTGTTCTCTTCTCAAGCTGGACTCTGGACTGTCTTCACACTCGGTGGTGTGGGCAGCAAAGCAGCTGCCTCTCCAGAGCTTCCCTCTCCTCTCGCCAACCAGAGTCTCCTGCTTCTGCTGGTGTTGGCTAACCTGACAGATGCTCCAGACGCACCAAATCCCTACAGACAGGCCATTATGTCTTTTAAGAACACGCAAGGTTTGTGATACTTTCTCTCTTTCTAATGAAGAGAACACTGTTTAAATTATTTATCTTAAATTTTTGAAGATGAGTGTCAATTTGTTGTTTTCACGTTGGTTACAAATGAGAAAAACAGATTTTTCTGTCAGTAGTCTTGGGAAGATCAAATAAATCTTAGAAAAGTGCTAAGGTCCTTAATATCTGTTTAGATTTACATTTTTTTCAGAGATAATCAAACATGGGGGACCAAAAGATGTAGTACAGCAGTTGATTCAAATTATTGGCTTTAGAGTTAGATTGACCTACATTCATATCCCAGATTTATTCCTAAACACCGATGGCCTTATCTGTAAAGTAGAGATTGTAATCTGTACCTCACACAGTTCTTGTAAGAAATGAATGAATTGGGCTGGGGATTTAGCTCAGTGGCACTATGCCTGCCTCTCAAGGGCAAGGTCCTGAGTTTGATTCCCAGTACCAAAAAAAAAAAGAAAAGAAATGAATGAACTTTTACCAAAGTACTGACTCACCAAATTGTTGCTGTTACTGTAAGAAGCAATATAATGCAGAGGCTGCTCTAGGTTTTACTCAGGGCTGATGTGGGAAAAATTACCTAATTTCTCTAAATCTTTATTTCATACTTTGTAAAACTGGTCAGAATGACGTGGTTGTTGCACACATTAAATACATGATAACAGACATAAGGCAGTCCATGTAATGGCTGGTTCACAGCATTTAGTATCTAGCAGTGTAGTGATGTTGTGGATACACACATACCACACACACTCATCAGTGCAGTCAGGTATAGTGCAGACGGGTGAATATGCCACTTTGCTCCCATTGGGAAGAAGAATAGAGTGTCCAGAATCTTCTCCAGTGAGTCTCATATAGATTCTCTAATTTTGCATGCTCACAGTGCATGACAGCAGTTCTTTTTGCCATCCTGTGCACAAATATAAAGTCAACCTCACAAAGGAATTATTTTTATTAGTGTCATAAATAGTATTAAGATTGAAAAAATAACCTATATTTCAAATGTAGAAGGGGAAGTGAAAGTGCCGTGTAGCTGAATTGCAGGCATTTGTAGATGCATTTCTCTTACAAACCTAAAGCAGGAAGGAGAGTCTTAGAAGCACTGAGCTGCCAGAGATCATTTGTGTTGGGACATGGCTTTTTTCCATAAGAGTACAGCTTTCAGAAATGGTAAAACAGATTAGTGTGTTTTTCATTTTTGTTTGTTTTTAGTGGATCTTCTGTGTTTCAAGTCTTTTCAAAAATTATTTGTGCTTAGTTTTCAGAGCACATGAAAATATTAGCTCTTTGTACTGTCATATTCCTGTGTTTTATCCTGCATTTTATCCAGTGATATTATGACCTCCTCTGAGTCAGTTGAACCTGTGTATATCTCCTTTTTAACTTCTTAACCTTTCTTGCTTCGGTTTCTAAGCAAATAGGTTAACTGTAGAAAAGAGGCTGTGTTAGTTTTAGAGTACCAAGAATTTTCCCAGTATTGACTATCATTTATGCTTTTCATCATTCCAGTAACTATCTTTAAAAAAAAAAGTTTCTTAGCAGTTGTAGATAATTAAGTTTTCTTTTAAACAATAAATTTGTAGAAATTTTCTGATAGTTGTCTTAGGTCTAGTATGTTTTGTCCGTTATAGGAGTTAATGTTGAACATATGTACTGATTTTGGTGTTATTTTAAAACTAGCTAAATTATTTGTTGTTGTTCTAGCCGTTTTCTTTAGGAATGGATTAATAACTTGATAAATACTTCAGCTATAATTTATTTATTTGAAGTAAGTAAACTTCAAGGCAAGTGTAGCTTTTTTGGTTTTGTTTTGTTTTTTGAAACAGTTTGGCTGTGTAGTCCATGCTGGCCTGGAACCTGAGGTCATCCTGCCGCAGCTTCCTGAGTGTAGGGATTGAAGGCATGCACCACCATGCCTGGCAAGAAAGTTTTTAAAAACCTTGTCTTAGAATAAGATGTCTTATTTTATATACAAACTATATTCTTCATCCCTGTTTTTATTTAGGACTGGTTATGTTTGTTTTGTTTTTTTGGTTTTTTTTAAAAAGGTCTCAATATCTTGGTAAAATTATATCTGTCAGAGGCCTTGTGCCCCATAGCTCTATTTAAATACATGTTTTTAGTGCTGATTTAGTTCTGCTTCATATTGGAAAATAGTAATAAACTATGGAACTTAGTTTTTTAGTACTTAAGTTTAAAATACAAATTGAAAATTTAACTCGGAAACATAGGGATTTTATATAAAATTAATGGTAATTGGGTTATAAGCATTACTTTAATATTACTTTTTTTTTGGTACTGGGGATCGAACTCGGGACCTTGTGCTTGCAAGGCAGGCACTGGAACCCCTGAGCTAAATCCCCGGCCCTAATATTACTTTTATTATTTGTGTAAAAACATAGTCCAGAAAATAGTCATGTTGTTTTTTAAAATTTCGTTTATGTTCTCTGTCTACTAGATAGCAGTTCATTCCCCTCGTCGATTCCACATGCCTTCCAGATTAACTTTAATAGCTTATACACAGCTCTGTGTGAACAGCAGACGTCTGACCAAGCAACGCTTCTCTTGTACACGCTGCTCCATCAGAATAGTAATGTCAGAACATACATGCTGGCTCGCACGGACATGGAGAATCTTGTAAGTATCATGCTGAACATCACATGCTCTGTGTTTTTTGTGGGGTTTTTTGCTGTGTGTATTTTATAGAACTTTGGAGAATAATTTATTTTCCCAAGAAAGCAAGTATATTTGCCTGGTTGCTACACAGGTAGTGTTTGAGAGTTAATAGGGAGATGTCACCGGAAACAAGCAAAGGTCTGTGTTTCTTCAGTGTAGATGACAGCTCACATGGAGATGACCTCAGAGCAGAGCACAGTGGCATCCTCTGCTGGCTGGACAAGCTCCCCCATCCTCAAGGTCGTAAGCAGCTACCCATTTCTGAGGATCAAGTTCTGGGAGAAGCACCCTCTGCAGTTTTCAAGGGGGTTTTATTTCTTCTTGTTACCTTCCAGCTGCTAAGCGCTTATAGTTGTATAATTGGCCCCAGTTGCAGTGTACTCGTGATGACAATGGCTGAAAGTAAGAGTGATTTTTTATAAGCTAATTTTCTCAAGTGTCTGTTCTGATAGCCTAGAATCTAAGACTGTCTGAGTGCCCTTCCTGACCTGTTATGATTATTTTACGGTTCTTTGCCAGATATCCCTTAAATGTATACTACCTTTTGTTGTGTGAGTGAAATTGGTTCCACAATTTTCGTTAGACAAAAACTCACATAAATAATCATTGATTTCCCATTATAACTAATGTGTGAACAGCAGTCTTTCCCTGAGAGGAGCAGTAAGCTGCCTCATCAAGGCATGTTTGAAGTATAAGTGTGTGTGTGAGTGTGTGTGTGTGTGTATTTAGATAACTGTGGACTATTAATGCACTCAGAAAAATGTGAACATTCCTGAAATAGACACAGCTGTTGAAAGCAACAGAATGTCTCCTCTGCTTCATTTTTTACAGGTTGATAGAACTTCACCAGACAGACTGTAGCCAGTTTTTCAGTGTTAAAATACTCTGTAAACACTGAAGAAACATTGCATAGTAGAACTCATTGAGCATTTTGTACATCACAGAAACTCTAAGAACAAAAATTGTGGTTAAAGAACCTGTCTCCACACCAAATAGGTGTGGAAAATATTGGCTTAAATATCAGTATTGGGTGTAAAGTATACTGCTCATGAGTAAAATCTTGAAAAGATCAGGCTTGTTTTCTGATGTGTGTATAAAAGCACAGAGACAGTTCTGAGCATGATGCATTCTAAAGGAAGTGTTGAAAGTAATTACACAACTTGAGACATCATGTCTTTAAGAGAGTTTGGTGATAAGGATGTTGGTTTGTAAGATAATACATGGAGTGGCTGTCTCTGTTTAATGACATTCACCAATGAACGGTTATAAGACTTTGTTTAACATTTTCTGGGGAGGTTTCTAAGGTTTGTTTTGTTTTGTTTTTGGTACTAGGGATTGAACTTTGGACCTTGCGCTTGCGAGGCAGGTGGCGGAACCACTGAGCTAAATCCCCGGCCCAGTTTGGTTTTTTTGTGATACTAGGACTTGAACCCAAGGACACTCTACCACTGAGCTATATTCCCAGCCTCTTTTAAAATTATTTTGTTTTGAAACAGCATCTTGCTAAATTGAAAAGGTGGGACTTGAACTTTCAGTACTCCTGCCTCAGCCTTCCTGAGTGTGGGAATTACAGGTGTGAACCACCAGAGCCAGATAAGGTGTTTCTTTCTTAACTTTCATAGATTACTTTAGTAACTGATTAGTTTATGTCCCTATCTGTCCTTTTGCCTTTCTTCTATAATAAATATTTGAGGCTATGATGAAAAAATGTTATCAATGGGAAATTTACTGTGCTGACCTGATTTTGTGGTTGTTATCATTGATTTTATTCTATAGCTTCTTATTGATATTAAGGTAATGTCTGATACTTTGGGTTTTTCTCAAAATACCTCATTGGGTGTAGGTTCTTATAAAGTCAAAGGCAAACCTGCCTCTCTTCTGTGGCAAGTATTGACTGACATGGGCCCTTTTTAATGATGGTTTGAGTAACTGCTGTTTTACAACCTCCCCCCGACCCAGTATTGGATATTGAACCCAAGGGTGCTATACAACCAAGGTTCATCCAACCCCCTTTTTATTTATATTTTGAGACAGCATCATGCTAAATTGCTTAAGCTGAGCTTGCTACTTTACTGCTTTAACTTCTTCAGTAGCTGGGATTATAAGCATGTGATCTTTGACATCTTTTAACTCAAGAATACGCACTAATCTGAAATAATTTGCGGCACATTTCTAATTGGTGTCCATCAGAATAACGATGCAGTAACTTGCAAATTTCTTTTTGTGTCTATGAATAATGTATAGGGTAGAATCCAAGGCTCTGAATATTAAGAATAGTGTATAAGAGGACATCCCTTTAAAAAAATTCTTAGGCATAGGATTTTTATTTTGTTATCACAAGTGAAGTAGTTTATGTATGAAAATAGCTCAGACGTTTTAGCTAGTCATGATTTTTTTAGTTGTAAGTAACAAATTTATGCCCACTTTAAAGGAAAAGGAGTATACAATATTACAAATGAAAAACTTGTGAATATTTTGCTTTCAGTCATGGCTGCTTCTTTGTATTAAACCACATTGTCCAAGATCTGTTCCCTATCCCTTGCTTCTGTTTTCCCCAGCCTTGGTCTCCTTGTCTAGCGCACCTTTTCCAGGGATAGAATGGATTTCTAGTGGCCCCAGTCATATGTCTTTCTTATCACTTATAAGCTGAAAGGAAAAATTATGTATCTACTGTTCATAAAAATCTCCTGATGGGCTCCAAAAGTCTTTTTGGATCATGTGCCCACTTTGGCTAATCACTGTGGAATGGGGCCTTCTCAGTGATAGCCACGGGGTGACCAGGGGCTCCTCAAAGGAAGGGATTCTGGATAAATACTATACAGCCACTTCAACATTATAATTTTTTATAAAATTATAATTTTTTATTCTTTATAAGTTTTTTTCTTTTTTCTTTTAATCACCATTTCAGTTTCTGTTTATGTTAATCCAGCAGTGACTTGGCAGCTGTTTCCTTTAAACCTCCACCAGTGTTCTGTCCTTGGACCAGGCCTTGAGTGTGTATTATGTATTGCAGAAATGCGACTCACATTGTTGTGATATTAACTTAAAACTTCACTGAAAATACACATAGACAATGAGTTTAGTATTTATAGTGACATGAAGTCTACGATTTGTCATTATCAAAATAAGTTATTTAAGGATTTCTATATCTTCTTTGAGGTTCTTAATAGTCTTTTATTTTCTGAGTATGGATTTTATGTAAAAATCATAGAGGCCAAATGTCTTATTTGTTCCTTTTTTCTTGCCCTTTTCGTGGCCAAGTTTCTTAAAAGATGTGGACAACGTTCTCTGCCTGCTCTTCTTTACTTACTGTTTACTGTTCAGCCTGTTGTGATCCAGCTTCTGTTTCCTTATCACTAGCACCTTGTTACAGAATCCACTGGACATGTGTCCTCACTACTTCATTTGAACACTGCTGCATTTGGCAGTGTTCTCTTTTGTTGTTTAAACTGCCTAGGCCTTGTGTCAGTTCTGGCTGCTATAACAAAAATACTATAGGCTGGATGCTTAAACAAGATGAGAATTTCAGGATAAAGGCGCTGGCCAACTCAGTGTCTGGTGAGCACCTGCTTCCTAGTGTGCACATGACCATCTCCTTGCTGTGTCCTGATATGACAGAGAGCTGAGAGGAAGAGGAAACTAGCTGTCTCCTGTCTCTTAGAAGGATTGCCCTCACTGTGAGGGCTCCACTGTTATTACTCAACCGCCTCCCATAGACTTCATTTCTTAATTCCATGCCACTGGGGATAGAGTTTCAACCTGTGAATTTTTGATGTGCAGAAATAAGGAGTCCATACATCTACATACCTCTAGAAATCCATTCTCTCCCTGGAAAAGGTGTGCTTGACAAGGAGACCAAGGCTGGGGAAAACAGAAGCAAAGGATGGGGGACAGACCTTGGACATGATTTAATACAAAGAAGCAGCCCTGACTGAAACCAAGATCCTTGCTTCCTGTTGTACTCAGCAGATTTTTCTACCTCTATAGCTACTGTTCTCATTCTCTCTCTGTCTGTTTCTCCCCCCACCGTGTGTTATTTTTCTTTCACCTTCAAATGTGTCCTGAAGTACAGTTCTATCCATCTTTATCTTCTTCCCTGAACTTTCCCCCAAAACATCTACTGAAAACTATCCTGTTGTCATCTATACTTGGACAACTTTGAGTTCTTTGCTGTCTGGATTAAAAGTATTTTCCTAATTGCCCCAGACTTTCCCATGTGATAGCCTCGTAGACATCTTATACCAAATGTGAAAATGGGACTCCTTCTGTCTCTCAAGACCTGCTCTTTCTTCTCTTACTCCTGTATTCTCTATCCCAGTGATGAACCATCCACATGGCTGGCAGAAATAGGTGGCACTGACCCCTCTGTTTTCTTCTTCCATATCTAACTAAGTCCTCTTGGTTTTCATGTCTTAGTGTCTTTGGGATCTATTAATGTTCTTTTTCCTTATTGCCACTTTTTAGTTTAAGCTGCTTCATCTTCAATTATTGCAATATTTTTCTAAATTGTTAGTTTTATTAGTATGTTTGTGGTAAATAATGTTTATATTCATTCTGGGGAGTTGGTACGTGTCTATTACACATCTTAATTCTTTTTTTATACCCTTCCCTTTCCCTCTTTTCTCCCTCCCTCTATCTCTTGGTCCCTTTCCCTTTTGCAAAAGATTTATCCTCCTGTTTTATATTATCTTTTATTTTGCTCTTTATGTATATTTTGGGTTTCTCATGTAAGAAAAATTATGTGATATTTAACCTGGAATGTCTGATTTATCTCACTTAACATTATGGTCTCAAGGTGCATCCATTTCCTACAAATGACTCAAGTTTATCCTTTATGGCAGAATACTATTCCATTGTGCATAAATTCATATTTTCTTTACCAGTTCATCTTTATTGGCAGCTTCCAAGATTTAACTGTTATGAGTTGCATTGCTGTAAACATGGGTATGCATATGTCACTGTAATATAATGTCTTTAACTCTTTTGGTAATATCCTTAGAAGAGGAATAGCTGGTTCAAATGGAATTTCTAGCTTTAGCTTTTTGAGGAATCTCCAGGCTGATTTCCATAGTGGTTGTATTAGTTTACATTCCCAGCAACAATGTAGAGGGGTTCCTTTTCCCTTGTCACCTTGCCAGCATTTGTTATTAGTATTGTACTTGATTTCATGATGATAGCTATTCTTTGTGGAGAAAGATGGACTCTCAGTATTGTTTTAATTTGCGTTTTTCTTTTGGCAAGAGAAGTTGAATATTTTTTCATGTATTTATTGACCATTTCTACTACTTCTGAGAAGTGTCAGTTGCCCAATTTTCAGTTGGGTCTTTTATTTTGGGGGGTCTAATTTTTTTGAGTTTCTCATGTATTCTAGATATTAGTCCTCTGTCTAGCTGGCAAAAATTCCTGCCCGTTCTGTAGGTTGTCTCTTCACTCTGTTGGTTGTTTCTTTTGTTTGCAGTAGCTTTTTAATTTGATATGATCCATATGTTGATTGTTGGTGTTATTTTATATGCAATTGGGGTTCTGTATAGAAAGCCCATGCTTATGCAGATGTCTTAAATTGGACTGATGGTGTAGTATTCAAATTATATGTCAATTAAAATATTTAAAAGAAAAAATTCAAGTGCTGTTGTGACTTAATCCCATCAGATCCATTACTCACTCATTATTGTTTATATGTTTGAATATACCATTTATTGTTTATAAAGTACAGAATCTGTAGATGGGTATCACTGTAGCCCTGGATGTAGTTCTTACAGCTTAGACAAAAAAAAGGACATGACACAAAATATATATAGGAAACTGCAGAATCAGAAGTAGCATCTGTTGAGTTAAATGGCTGTAAAATCTTAACTATGCTAAGTAGGTAATGTGGAATGTGATGTTGCGTATTTGACATAATATCAGAAGGGCCTCCAAAGGCAAGGGAGCCTGGAGTCTACATAGAAAAAAGAGTAGTGAGTATTTTGGTAACTGTGGTACATTAGTTCCTGGAAGTTAGTAATGTTCATGCAACTGCACTTAATAATTTAGGTCGCTACAATAGGTGTGTCTCCCAAAATGTGCCTATTTTATGGGCTATGTGTGCCGTTTTGCTTTAGGGACTTGTGTATGTAAACAATTTATTCATTACAGGTTATTGTCTGATTTCAGTTACAGATAATGAATGAATGAATGAATGAATGAATGAACAAATTGAAGGCATCAAAATAATGATTCAAAATAAATTCATCTATATGTATACAGGGTCATAAAATGAAAAGCTTGACAGTTATGCTGAAGAATAAATCTCAGGACACATATTGAGAAAATGAACCTTGGGTAGTAATTGTTTATATATTTACTTATTTGAACTGCTTATTGAACTTGCCTATTTATATTTATTAGTATTAAAATACAAGTGATAGTAAGCATGTAATTTAAGGTGCTCTTTAATGTCTGGGTAGCGGGGCTTTTCTTTTTTTTATTTTGGTTGGGGGAAGGTAACGTGACTTTATAAAAGCTTTAAATCATGAGCTTAAATGGTCTCTACAAATCCAGCCTTTAGATTGGTTAGACCTTTAGAGATCATCCTAGAGTTTGTAATAGTTTTCCTTCTTGGTATTTTAGCAACACCTACAGTAAGAAGGGGTTTGTATTTTTTTTTTCTCTAAAGGAAAATTTAACTGTGACATTAAAAGGTACCAAAAAACCCATAAAGATTTAAAATAATTTAAGATTTTACAATCAGGTATCGAAATATTACGTTATAATTTTTATTCTCTAGGTTTTACCAATTCTTGAGATTCTGTATCACGTTGAAGAAAGAAATTCACACCATGTATATATGGCCCTTATAATATTGCTGATCCTTACAGAAGATGATGGCTTCAATAGGTCCATTCATGAAGTGGTAAGTTACCATTACTTTGATTAAACCCACCATAAGACTTATTGTGGTCCTCTCGCATATCCAGTTTTTGGGTGCGTCCATCCTCTTTCCTTGACACCAGTGTTACAAATCTACTCTGGGAATGTCCCAACCTAATGTAGTTCTTGCTTATTGAGGTGTGTACCAGAGCTGCCTCCTCTGTACACCCATAGCAGGACACGTGTGTCTCCTCGTGAAAGGTGTATGCACTGCACTCCTGGCCTCTCTTAAACATCCATTGTAGAGATTTTCTGCTGTCTGTTGGGAAAGCTCTATTTTTTAAGAGGCACTTACCACACTTACCAGCTGATCATGGTGGTGCATGCCTGTAATCCCAGAACTCTGGGAGGCTGAGGCAGAAGGATTCCAAGTTTGAGGCAGCCTAGTCACTTAGCAAGACCCTGCCTCAAAATAAAAAATTAAAAAGGGGGCTGGGGTTGTATCTTAGTGTGAAGGCCCTAGGTTCAATCCCCAGTACCACACATAGAAACAAAAAGAAACACTTTTTCTTCTTTCAGTCTTCAAAATACTTTATTACAAAGTATATTATTGGGCTAATAGATAGTTTTCCAATATCCTCTAATACATACCCTGCCAGTGGAGCACTGAAGAGTACCTGGCATTTGCTTGTAAAGCTTTTCTTATTTTCTCTTTCAACTTGCTAAGCTCTGTTTTATTTTTCTGTCACTTTTTATCCTGTTTGCCATAGCTCCTTCAGATACATCTCCTTTTCATATTTACTAATGATACCTGCATTTTTTTCTCTTAAATTCTTGTATTGGTACATTTTAGGTATACAATATGTTTACATTTATCATTGGGTACTTGTACCTGTACATGATATATCTTGGTTCTTATTTTAACCCTATTCCCTGTGCTACCTCCATTTACTATAAATAAATGTGATACCTCCATTTACCGTACCTGGTGTGTGGGGGTTTTTTTCTATTTAAGAAGGAAGGAGAAGTAAACACCTTAGCAGTTTGCTTACTAGAACTGAAAACTTCACAATTGATTTTAACTTACTGCTTAATTTGCCTTTAAAACAAAGAGATTGCTTATCAAAAATTATAGATATGAAGTAATTTCTTTTTCTTTAAATCAGTCATTTTACTTAAACTTTTCTTCCTCATTACAGATATTAAAAAATATTACTTGGTATTCAGAACGGGTTTTAACTGAAATTTCACTGGGGAGTCTCCTGATTCTAGTTGTAATAAGAACCATTCAATACAACATGACAAGGACGAGAGTAAGTATTCCATAGCTATTTTTCTATCTTTATCCAAACAGTACAATTCAGATTATCATTTAAAGTAATCTCAGTTTTTAGGGTGCTAATATGCTCATGAAAAATGATGGAAAAATACAGATCAACATGTAACCACTGTATTACATGATTATAGTGTAATGTGTGTTTCTTAATATTCAATGATTGGATGATCAGAGAATTATATGTGACAGAAAACAAGCAGTGAGGCACATTTAGATCCAGTCTGTTGTGTAATTTTGCTAAATTGATAACACACTGATTTGCCTTTTAAAAGCAGCAACAACAAAGTATAAGAAGTTTGTGAGCACAAAAAAATATGTTTTCAGATGGGAAAAAAAGGTAGAAGAGAGAGAATGCTTTAAACAGTAAAAAGAAGGTAGGGATAGGAGGTATGGCTCAGTGAGAGCACTTCCCTAGCACTTGTAAGGGCCTGAGTTCTATCCCTAGCACTAAGGAAAAAAGAAAAAGACTAAAAGAAAAAATCTTTATTGGGTTCTATTTGTATTTCCTGAGAGCAGTTTCATTTCTGGTAATAGGGAAATGATGAACAGAATTCATAGCTAAATGGTCAAGTTTACTTCAGCATTTTCATTCTATGGGTTTAATGTAAATACATGTCCATATTTTTAAAATCTGAGATCCTAGGAACTAAATGTTTTGTTTGTTTATTTGGTTGGTTGGTTGGGTTTTTTTGAGACAAGGTCTCGCTGTGTAGTTCAGGCTTGCCTTGAACTCAATGTGTAGCCCTGGCTGACCTCACACTCACAGTAATCCTCCTGCCTCAGTGCTGGGATTATAGGCATGTGCCACCACACCAAGCGTAAATATGTTTTAAAATGGAGAAGTTTTACATTTTTGAAAAGGTAATTATTGTGTGCATGCTATACTATGTATAAGCAATAGAGTTTGAAGCTGTACAGTGTAATTAAATATTAATATCCTCCAGCAAACTATTTCAGTATTCATCATGGTGAGAATGATGAAGATCATCAAGAACATCATAATAGTTTGTGTCATTCATTGCTTCAAATAAGCTGTGAAAAGATTTTAATGGCTCTGGGAACTAGAGAAAAGACGTTGGGGATTCATATTTTATAAAATCAGTGATAGTTGAGTTTATATTTTCTTCTAGTTAACCTTGCTTAAAATATAAGAAGACTTGATGTATGTTTTAAACTTGCCGTTTTCTAACAGGACAAGTACCTTCATACAAATTGTTTGGCAGCTTTAGCAAATATGTCGGCACAGTTTCGTTCTCTCCATCAGTATGCTGCCCAGAGGATTATCAGGTAAATATGAGTTTTAAAGGAAATACTAATTTTTGCCTTCTGGCTGACTGACCCATTGAGAAAGATACCATGTCAGTCCTTTTTAATGGTATATTCAAGATACACCAAATTTTCCTACTTAATTTTTTATTTCCTTCCCATTTGGTTGAAAATATCTTCTATTTTGTTTTCTAAACCAGTTCTCCATCAAAGCCGTCATTTGTATTTATTTATGGTGGCACTGAGGATTGAACCCAGAGCCTTCATACTTCATACATTCTCACCTCTTTTGAGATAGGATCTCACTGAGTCAATAAGTTGCTCTGTCTGGGCGTGAACTTGCAGTCTTCCTGTCTCAGGCTCCCAAAGTGCCAGGATTACAGGCATGTACCACCATGCTCTACTTATCTTAATTCTTTTATCTCATTTTAGGTCTTGTGTGTTAGCTTTTAACAGAGAAACAGGTGCTTTTCTTTTTTTTTTTTTGTATTAAATTATTTTATTGGTACATTGTAGGTATACAACACAATTACATTTCTCATTGGGAATTGTACCTTTACATAATGCATCTTGGTTCTTATTTTTTCCCAGTTCCTAGCCCTCCCTTCATGCCCTCCATACTTCACTATTTACAAAGACTTTATTTCCATTTTTTCCATTTCTCAGCATTTTTCCTTTCCCCTCTTTCCTTTCCCCTGGCCCTCCTACTACCCCTACCCCTTTGGACCTTTTCTTCCTATTTTACATTATCAATTATTCATTCTAATCATTGGTACATTTTAGGTATACAGTATAATGACATTCATCATTGGAAATTTGCACCTTTACATAGTCTTCTCTTGGTTCTTATTTTTCACCCTTCTCCAGCCCTCCCTTCAACCCCTCCAGTCCTCCCTATTTGCAAAGATTTTGTTCCTATTTTTCCATTTTCTCATATTAATCCCATTCCCTTCTATCCTTTCCCCTAGCCCTCCCACTTCCTTCCCCTTTGCCCCTTTTCTTCCTATTTCACATTAGCAGGTGCTTTTCTTAGTATTGCAGACTAAATCTTAACATATTTGCTGAGTATTTTATAGAGCATCGAACTATAAAGAGTTATCTTTGTTTCAGAAAATTCTTTTCTTTTCTTTTTTTTCATGGCACTGGAGTTTGAACCCAGTGCCTTATACATGCTTAGAAAGTGCTCTGCTGCTGAAGTACAACTCCAGCCCTGGCAATTATTTTCATAGTAATTTACTCTTGTATTAGGTTTCAATTGTCACCATAGGAAATTACCACAAATTAGTGGTTTAAAACAACATAAATTTGTCATCATACAATTCTATAGATTAGAAGTCAAGCACAGGTCTTACCAGGCTAAAATCAAAGGTCAACAGGGCTGCATTCCTTTCTGGGTGTCCTGGAGGAGAATCTGTTTCTTCTTCCTTGCTATTAGAGGCTGCCTCATTCCTTGGCTCTTGTTCCTTTCCATATTTTCAAAGCCAGAAACTGTATGTGGGTGAGTCCTTCTTGTGTCCAATCACTGTAACTCCTTCTGTGGTTCCCTCTTCCACTTGGAGGACCCTTGTGATTGCCTTGGCCCTACCTGAGTAATCCAGGCGATCTCCCCATCTCAAGTTCCTTAGCAGAACCACAACTGCAAAGTTCCTTTTGCCAATTAAGGTAACATTCACAAATATGGGGGATTAAGATATGGACATTTTGGGGGTACCATTAATTCTGTCTGCCACAGCTGTCAGCATCAGAAACCCCTCTTTCTTTCCTTTTGTCAACAACATGATCTTTAAAGGTAGGAAAGCCAATTTACCAATCATGTATAATATTATTTACAGGGATTTTTAACATGTGGGTACTTTTTTGTCTTCTAGTAGGATGTGCAATATTGTCTTAGCAGATTTCAAGTAGAACATTTGTTGTATAAGTTAGTGAAGATATGTTTTATTCTTTAATTCTTTTAGGCCGATGCAGGGTATTTTGGGCGGGTTTTTTTGCACATGTTTTCAGTACATACTGATCACATTCATCATGGGGCCAATGCAGTTTTGACAGTTAGTTTTTGTTTCTAGCCATTGGTGCTGATCCCAACCCTGTATCACTTTTAAGCTTTGATCTCACATTCTCATCAATTCACCAAATTGATACTTGTTTATTGTTCTGTGCTCATTTTTAATAATTATTCAAAATTAATGTCTGTTCTTTATTTATCTTCAGAATTCAGTAGAGGATATTTTGCATTGACTCGCTACCATTGACTGTATGTCTGGTCTTTATACATTCTGTTTGATTTGGAGAGGAGGTTGTACTTGAGAGATTGTCCAGTTGACTAACATGAATTTACGATTTAAAGTAACAGTCTTCTCATATTCAGAGTCTCCTAGGTATTGTGAAGAGCCTTTAATTTTTAAAGCTAATCTTTGTCACTATGCTTTATTTTGGCCTGAAAGATTTAATGATTTCTGTGCTGCTTTGTGTTCTTTTTTTATGTGTGCATTTGAAGTTTTACAATGGCTTCATTAAGATTTTATTATAACATTAATTTTTCCTCAACTGAGAAATCCTGTTCAATGTGAAAAATGCCAGATTGATTGGTTCAGAATTTAAGTTCTGATAAAATGTATTAAGTCAGATTAAGTAAAAATTTTCTAGATGGAAGCATGGGAAAAACTACAAGTGAACTTCAGCACCTAGTTTTCTATCTTTGATGCCCAAAATGGAAAATAAACCAATCATATTGAGGAAATGAGAAACATAGTTAGTTTTGTTATATGCGAATATTTAGATTAAGTTTATCAATAGTGCTTTGCTTCATTTTCATGCATTGTTATTTAACATCAACTAAAGAGCTGTTTTAAGTCATGCAAGGATTATCAGAAGTAGTAATAAAGATTCTTGCCTTCAAATAACTTATAGTTCAGCAATATGGATAAAACAGAAAAAAGATCTTATATACAGAAGAATATGGTAAATAATTTAATAAAATAAAAATTCCTATGATGAGGGTGAGAAATTGGTTCAGAGATGGTGAGAACACAGCACTTTGAGAGATTAGGCAAGGTAACTAGAGACTAGCCAGATGGGAAAAACATCAACCACGGTCACCAAAACAAACCAAGAGAGGGTGTAATGAGCAAGGATGGTTTATGAGTAGAAAATCACCAGTCCCATTTGATTCGCTTGTTGTGGACCTGTACAGGCATTATAGATGAAAAGCCTGAAAAGAACTAGGGTGTTGTTATGGAGGGGCTTAAGAGTTAGATTCACAATTTAGGATAATGGAAGGAGGAGAGAGAAGCAAAGGTCTGATTTTTAATAACAACAAAGAAGAAAAGTTAAGTGAATAAACTGTAAATTAATTTTAAAGAAAAGAATTTAAGGTAGATTTCTAGAGTCATCCCATGTCAGCAGATGATATTGATATTTCTGTTTGTCACACTGGGGGAAACCCAGTTCTGACAGGTTTCCAAGTGCTGTTAATGCTTCTTGTCTGAGGACTTCATTTGAGTAACCAGTGTGGACCATCCAGTAGAAACTTGTTAGAAATGCTGAGTGAATGCCCACTTTCAGACTGGTAAAAGTCTGGAGGCTTATGCAGTTTGGGGTATTGGTTTTACACAACTAGTAAGTGGCTGGCCCTGGTTTGTACAGATCAAAAGTCAGTGTTCATCCACAGCACTGCCAAACCCAAGCTGGCAGAATATCATCTGCCTGGAACCATGGATCCAAACTCTCAGGAGTTTTCTGAAGCAGATGGTGTTCTGTAGTCCAAGGTAGCCATGCTCGTGTTAATCATGCCATTTGCTGCTCCTCACCCCTTAGTCTGGCTGCCTTTCAGTACAGTAGTGAAGACAGTGAAGTCTTTTAAAAAGTTTTTTTTTAAAAACCAACTATTTGAGATAGGCATGGGTATGTTCAGCTATTATGATACATGGTGTGTGGAGATTGTCCTGGGAAGTAAACATGGGAGGAAGACAAGAACTTGTATCATTTAACCTAGAACATTCTTTTTAACATCTCATCCTTGATGTTAAACTTTACTTTAATTCAGAAAATACTTACTGAGCTTTTACTGTATGCCTGCCACTGCTGAAGCTTTCTTTTATTTGATTTCTTACATTTTCATTTCACACTAACACTATTTGTTGTACATATCTAGAAATTAAATGTTACAGTGATTTTATTTTTTTAAACTAATTGAGTTTCCATCTCATTGTTGTCTGATATCATTTTAGTCAGGAAATAGGGAATTATCTGATACAAAGAATTATAATGAATAGTTCAGCTCTGTCTTGAAATCTTAGTAAGTTATTTAACTTTTGTTTTCCATGTCTGAAATGAGATATGATACCTAGTTCATGTGTTGTGAGAATTGATAATGGCTTATAAAGCCTTTTACATCTCTGTTCTCTTTATTATAGCATCATAACATTTTTGAAATAGTTTGCATCTAAAAATAGATCTGGATCACATCCCTATAAAAGAATTTCTTGGTCTCTTTTAATATTCCTAGATTCTGATTTCCTGCCCAAACAATAATCAAATTGTCTGTATTTCCCAAAAGGAAGAAAATGAAGGCCTCACTGAATGTACATAGAGGTTTTTAATAGTAATGTGTTTCTTTTACACCAATAGATAGGAGCAGTGGCCCTGTAGTATAAATACTTCTTTTAAATGCATATGAGTTCATTTTTAAAGACACAATTAACTTGTTCTTGCTCAGTGCCTGTGCAGCAACCAGGTTCCAGTTTCTCCTTTGGGGTAGCCTTTGCTGATTCTTGTTTTATCTTGTCAGAGCATGAACCAAGAAAGGAAGGAGGAGTGTTTGCCTTCGAAAGCTGTCTTCCTATATGTCCTAAAGTAGCCAGTGCTACTTTAAAGGCAGCTAAATTTTTTTTGAGAAATCTGGCATGGTTTGCTTTTTCAGTTTAGTCTTTTCTCAAGCAGTCACACTGAGAGCATTTAGACAGCTCGAAGTTAAAAATTGATAAGTTCTCAATTGAGGATTTCTGACTATTCAGAGGATT